ATACTGGTTATTTTAGCAAAGCATGCATATTTATTTAAGATTTATGTAGCAGGAGGGGCTTCTTAAGGGAATGAAGACCCAAAGGCCCAGTGATACAGAACTGAACAGAGCAGCAAATTGTGACCATATGAGAAGGCAGAGGCTTGGGCTAGGTGTTCCCTGAGTGGCGAAGGTAGATGAGGTCAGTGTAACAAGGTTCGAAGGTAGATGAGGGTCGTGTAACCAGGTGTGTCTGCACAGTTTCCTTCACCCTCATGTCCACCTTTGATAAGAAAGCTGCTTTCCCTGCAGTGCAGGAGAGTGTCTTTCACCTGGAAACGTTGTCTTCTCCTTTTAAGAAACAGCCCCATGGATAGGGTGATCTTCTTGCACCTGCTTTTTCTTAAAATTTAAGAGAGCAAATGTGCCAGGGCGGCATATTTTGGTTGTCACTCCTTCAGTGTCTAATTACAGATTTCTTATCTTGTTCAAGGTACCGTGAACCAAGTTTTTAACTGTCTCAGAAACATTTAAGAAGCAAGCAAACAGTTTTCTAGACAGAGACTTCTTGCAGGCATTTTGCAAACATGTCTCCCAACGTGTTACTATTGCCTGCAGCAAGGGGCACTCCCTCGTGCACTGCAGAGCTGAAATCCAGTGCACACACCTTCTAGGCTCCAATTGTAACCATCAGTAGAGCGTGTTGTCTCCACGGGATGTCAAAATCCCCCAGTCCCTTACAGATTTCCCTATGCAGAATGGAAGAACAGCTTGACAACAAAACCCATCTGTAGACTCATCAGTGACTAAGTAGCATGCGACTGCATAGGATTTGCAAGGTAGAGAAAGTTTCCAGGTTGCATCTGATGATTTAGGGTTTGGGGTCACTGTTACGGTGCTGCAGGTTAAGCCTCCTGCCTGAGACTTTGGCATCCCGGCAATATGAGCACTGGTTACAGTCCTGGCTGCTCTGCTTCTGATCCAACTTCCTGCTAATGGATCTGGGAAGACAGCAGATGATGGCCAAGTACCTGGGCCCCTGCCACCCATATGGGAGACCAGAATGAGGTTCTTGACCCCTGGCTTCCAGCCTAGGCTCTTGCAGCCACTGGGGGAGTGAACCAGAAGATGGAATTTCTCTCGTTCTCTCCCCATTCCCTCCTCCCCCTTCCTGCACACACACGTGTGTGTGTGTGTGTGTGTGTGTGTCTGTTTTTCCTTTTAACCCTGCCTTTCAAATAAGTAAATCCTTACAGGCTTGGGGGCTGGTTATTGTCAGTTACCCAAAACCCCAGGGAGATAGGCCACTCAACAGTAACTTTTACAAGCTGCCTGCCAAGAACATTCCAAACCTTGAGGCACAGAGGATACATTGTAAATGAGCAGCTTCCTCCTGTCTGTTCTTGCTTTTCACACTTAGTACCTACCATGAAGCTGCTGTCTTGCTGGCTTCCTGCTCCCCTGCCATGATCAATAGTTATTGATGAGGTTTTTCTGCACCTTCAGCCCTCCCTTATCACTTTAGCACAGCTGGTAGCTTAAAAGTGCCTGAGAGGTGCTTCCCAGTGGGTTGATGTCTTCTGCACACTCACCTGCCCCCCATCCAGGTGGGCTACAATCTTACTAGCTGGTCTTTCTACAAACAGCTTTTCGGCCTTGACCAGTTGTCTGCCTTGGACCCTTATGTTAAACAGTAATGGTGAAGTTCAAAATCAGGAAGCAGCAGCAAGCTCACCCATTTCCAAAAAGTAGCTTAGGTTGGGCTGCTTTAGGTGCTGTGCACAATCTGACCTGCTTTAAATTTCTACTCCCCTTTCAAGAGATTTGATGCGATTTACAAGGAAAAAGAGACAAATGCCAGTAAGATCCCTGGTTCTTGGGGAAGCAATAATCAGAAAGTTAAAAAAATAAAAAAGCCTTATCTTTCAGGCAGCCAAAGGGAAAAAGGAAAGGAAAGGACTCGTGCCAGTTCTGCAGTCTGCTTCTGTCATTTACTGGCAGGGTGCAGGGGCCCAAGCACTTGGCCCATCCTCTGCTGCTTTCCCAGGTGCATTAGCAGAGAGCTGGATTGGAAGTGAAACAGTCAAGGCTCAAACCAGCGCCCATGGGGGATTCCAGCGGTGCAGGCAGAGGCTTTAACCTGCTGCACCATGGTGATGACCCCAAGATATCTTTTTTAAGCTCCTGTTTCTTTATTTTAAAAGTCTGGATAACAGGAAAGTGGAAGAATGTTGAGAGGATTTAAGAAGATAGTGTACTTGAAGAAAAACTAACAAAAACAAAAGTGGCTGTCACCAGTAATTCATATTATCCAATAAAATATTTTTTCAGATGACATTGTATTGGTCTGTCTTACCCTGGGGGGAGCCGGACCACTGAGATCACAGGATGGTTTCTGAACGAATGAAAGAAGGCAGGAGGACCAATCCCAGGTGTTGGTTGTTCAAGCATGACTAAATGGCCAATTTCATTCCGTTTTAACAAAAAGAAAATGATCCCAGGGAAGTCCTGTGCACATCACCCCTTCCGCTGTGAACTCGCCACCACAGGACATGGCATCCCGAACCTACAATCATCTCAGGACAGCTTCATCCCCAACTTTCCCCGCCATCTGCACCCACTTAATTCTCCGTGCTTTGCACCGGAGCTCGGAGAGGCGTCAGCGTTACAGCGGAGAGTGACCCGGGAACCTGCTCTATCTGTGATGCAGTATGAAGCAGAGTTTTATAGAAGTGACTAGAAGAGACAGTTCTTGCTGTGGAGCAGCTCAGAGGGACCTTTGGAAACAGAAAGGCCTTATTGAAAACAGCAGAGAGCGGGGCAAGCATTATGGCACAGCGAGTAAAGCTCCAACCTGTGATGCTGAAGTCCCACATGGGCGCCAGTTCAGGTCCCAGCTGCTCCACTTCTGATCCAGCTCCCTGCTAATAGCCTGGGAAAAGCAGCCGAAGATGGGCCCAAGACCCCTGCTAGCTACAATGGGCGACCTGGAAGAAGCTGCTGCCTCCTGGCTTCTGCCTGGCTGGGCCTGGCCATTGTGACCTTCTGGGGAGAGAACCAGCATTTGGAAGCTTGCTCTCTTTCAAATAAATAATTAAATTTTTAAAAAATGCAAAGAGGAAGACTCCCAGGAAAGCAGTTGAGAGGGGATTTTTCTCAGCAAGAAAAAAAGCTGTTGGGGGGGGGCATTTAATAGCCTCATGAAAGTTTGTACAGGGCCCTTTAAGAAAAGTGGCCGATGGGACCAGCGCTGTGGTGCAGTGGGTTAATGCCCTGGCATCCCACATGGGCGCTGGTTCTTGATCCAGCTGCTCTACTTCCTGTCCAGCTCTCTGCCATGGCCTGGGAAAGCAGTGGAAGATGGCAAAGTCCTTGGGTCCTGGCACCCACGTGGGAGACCGGGAAGAAGCTCCTGGCTTCTGACTTCAGACTGGCGCAGCTCCAGCTGTTGTGGCCATCTGGGGAGTGAACCATCAGATGGAAGACCTCTCTGTCTCTCCTCTCTCTGTGTAACTCTTTGAAATAAATAAATCTTTAAAAGGAAAAAAGAAAAATGGCCATTGTGTGTTGAGATCACCCTGCCTTCTTAGCTCCCATTCCTCCCACTTGGTGGTCTCTGGTCCCAGGTGTGTTATCTGTGGTGTGGCCATTCTCCTCATCTTGCTGTTTGTGACTTTAGGCTGGCTCTGTAGCTTACAATCCTGTCTTTTTCTCTTTTCCTGTGAATTTATAGACTGCAGGCCTTTGCTTTTTAAGTTCCCTAGGTAGTTTTTGCAAAGCAAAAATACGTGTTACCCGCATGCCCCCTGTGTTGCTTGGTAACCAGAGGCTGCTCCCCTGGCCACAGTCCTGTCCCCCACTTCCTTAGCTATCTGCCTGAGTCTGACCTCACCCAACTCGCTTTCTCCTGACTGCAACACTAGTGGCCACAGGAGGTTCACTGCCTCCCAAGAATCAGCCCCAAGTGGCAGGTGTCCAGGGGAGGGCTTGATTTACTTGTGACAACTCAAGTGGAGAGGGGCAAGGAATAGTCCCGGGGCAGAGAAATCGCCTTCCCCAAAGCAGTTGGCTGGGGCTTTTTATAAGGAGGATGAGGGTAGCATCTGGGATACAGAAAAGGAACAGGGGAGAGCCCAAAACTGGCTCCCTGCAACGGTGGCCATTGCTCCTCTGCTGGGCTGGCCCTGTGCGTACAACAAGCAGGACAAGCTTTCCTGGAACATCCGCTGAGAAGCCGGATCAAGACGCTCAACCGTCTGCCGGCTCTGCTCGTGCTCAGGGCATCATTTCTGCCCCAACCCGGCGCCCTTGGTTACAGAAGTCTTCCCTGCCCTGTGCTAAGCCGGGTCCCTACTTCTCACCGCCAAATTACCCATGACCTTGTATCCTCATGGCACCCATCATCCCAAACTTGCGTTACTTTGCATCATTACATTTTTCGTTATTTTAACTATCAGTAGTATCAATATTACACGAATTAATGATGAAGAGGAACTCTATAATCATCATTACTGGCACGCATCATTTATTCCATGGGCTCACAGTTCTAGGTAACTGGTTCCCAGATTGCAAACTCCAACAGTGCATACGGCCTGTTTTCTGCTTCCAGTTGCGTTCCCAGGACTAACCCAGTGCCCGATACGCAGCAGGTGTTTAGTCGCTAGTTGCTAAATTAATCGGCTTTCCTGACCTCTAGAATCCTGCCCAGTGGGGAGGGAGGCCGGCTGAGATTCCACGGGCAGTGACACAAAGGCTAGTGACCATCTTCCAGCCCCTCTCCTGGGACAGCACCCGGGCTGCCTGCTTTACAAAGCGAAGGCAGCAGCTACTGCTGGGGAGGCGGCAGGGCCCCGCCCCTTTACAACGAAACCCAACCAGCCCCGTGGCCGCCCTCAAAGATTTTACGGCCCCAGGGCCCCAGGTTGATTGCAACCGACGCTGGCGGCCCAGGGCACGGTTTGGAATAAGTCCCGCAGGCGCGCGGCGCGCCGAGCCGGCCGTGCCAGCTGGAGGCCGTGCCGGGCCGGCCCCTCTCTCATTTCTCCCGCGCGAAAGCTGGCTGGACCGCTCCACTCCCGCCCTCCTCTGCAGGGGGAGCCCGGCACCCCCACCTCGGCCGCCGCCCCTGGACACGCGCGACGGCAGGCTGGGCCGCGCCACCTACGACGCCAAGGGGGCCGCGCGTAAAGCTGGGTGCGCAGCCTGCGGTGGGAGGCCCGGCGGGGCGACGCCGAGTGGGCGGTGCGGCGCGCCCCCCCTGTCCTGGCGCCGAGTGCGCCTCTCCCCCGGGCCCGCCCGAGCTCCGCCTGGGTGCGCGGCCGCGGGGCGTTCTCGGAGCGCCTGTCCCGTGGCGAGCCGGGCTCCCGTGGCCGCGTGCTGGGGCGAGGCTGGCGTCCCGTTAGGAAGAATGGAGTTGGCGACTGGTTCTCAGGTGAGCGTCTCCTGGCCCGCCGTGGCGCGGCCTCCCCCGCGCAGCGCCCGTGCCACGCCGCGCCTGTGCGCGCCCGGGCCTCCTCCGCCGGCCCTGGGTTGGAAGCGTGGCCCTCGGCCGCGCCGCAGCCGGTCGGGCGCCCAGCCCCGCGGGCGCAGGAGCGGGCGCGCCCTGCAGGTGTGCGCAGCCGGGCGTGGCCGTGCCACCTGAGCTGCAGCAGCCGCGCGCCCTGGCGCTGCCGGGTCCCCGGTGGGGTGCCCTGGGGTTGCAGGCCGGTCCGGTGTGGCCTCGGCCGCCAGGTGTGCGAACCTTTCCCGGGAGGTGTTGGCGAGGAGGCGGCGGGGAGCTGGTGCGCACCCCCTCCCCCTTCCTGCAGGAATTGGCGCAGGGATAAGGAAGTTTACCTAAAGTAAAAAAAAGAGTTGAGAGCCGACCTGGTTGTCCGTTGGGCTTCGGGGGTGGGGGTGGGGTGGGGGAGTGGGTTTGTGTGTGTTGTGCCACTTTTGTGAAAGTTTGCAAGGAATTTGCATGCCCTTGGAAGTGGCCGGTTCATTAGGCCCCGAGTTAAAACAGAAGCCGCGCGGTCCGGGTTAGGCGTTGTGGGCCTAACTAGACTTTAAAGCGCCTTCGCGAGCACTTGGGGGCGAGTTCCCCGAAGATTTCCGTGCGTGGTGAGAATGTGAGAGTGATTTCAGGGTGTGTGTGTGTGTGTGTTTTGCTTTTCTTTCTCTTTTTAAGAGCTGTTACGTGCTTTTAAATTGTAGTTGAAATAAAGGTCCCCAATGAAATGAACATGTATTTATCCAGAAGTGAGCAATAATATGTTTTCAAAAAAAAAAAAAAAACTTTAAAAAGGGAAGGAAACAGCTGGACAACTGCTGGTGCCCAGGAGCTGCTCTGTGCGAGGGGGTTGGGGTTTGGGCCGGTTGAGAGCCGACGGCCTCGCTGCTTCCATCTTGACTTTCACTGGCATCTGTGTTTCCCACCCGGGGGTGGAGGTGGGGGCCACCCGCCCACACGCCTGTCACCTGCCTGCATGTGGGAGCACTTTACAACCGGAGCCCCCCTGACGCATGCCCTGGTCGTTTAGTGATTGATGGAAGTCTTCCTGGAAGAAAAATGCGGTGCTGTGAATGTGAGAAAGGGTTTTTAAACTTTCCCCAGTGAGAGATCCTACTCGCAGCAAGGGAGAGAGAGTAGCCGGTCTGAGGACTCCCAGGGTTAGAGCTTTGGTTTGTGCCAGTCTCTCTTGCCGCTGGGCCTTTACGATGTATTGGCATCCTGTCCTGGGAGTTCTGCCCCCTCCCCCCCAGCTGCTTGTGGGTTTCATTGCAACTGTATCGCTCTGGGAACTTGGTCGGCTGCAGAGTTCTGAGCTCCTCACTTGCATTTGGGGTTCCTGCTTAGCAAATGCAGAATGTCCTAGAATGTGCAGTTGGACTTGAACGTTGGATTGTCGGATCACGGGGCTGGTCTTTGATAGTTTTAAAATGTGTAATAAACTATTTACCGTGTGGAGGTAATCCGCAAATTATATCGAACCCATTATGCACCAATTAGGGCAAATTGCTGTATGTAAGATGATCTTTTTTTTTTTTTTTTTTTGTATTTTCTAAGGACTTTCTAATTGACAGCACAGATTAAGGTGTGTGGTGGTTTTTCCAGTGGAAATGTTCCTGTTCATCAGAACTTAATTGCGAGCAGATTACGGTCTCCTGAAGTTATCAGGGAGTGCTTCTGTGCTGTGGGCAGGTGCCCCTGGGGAAGAGCACTTAGTGAACACGCAGGGCACTGCATTTGGGGGATCTTGCGGGGTCCCCGCCCCCACTTGGTGGGAGGGGCCGAGCCTCTTTGCTGCACAGCTTGTGTGGGGTTTAATCTCATTAAATATAGAATTTCCACCCCTGGGGAAAGGTGTTCCCAGAGGGCGCCTTAGGCCCGATTGTTACCAGTAGGGAAAACTTTCCTGAGATCCCACCATTGCAAGTGCTGCACATTAGTGCCTCCCATGGGCTGGCCGCCCTCCCTGTCTGTGCCCTTTCGTGGAGTGAGGGCAGGAACGCCTGGTGAAGGGAGGGGCTGATCTCTTTGTGAGCTGCCCGGGGAAGCCTGCCCATGCTTCCCAGCAGAAACCCTCTGCTGGTGACAGTTTCTGTCCTCGTGTGCTTCCAGCCCCAGCGTTGGGAAGGACTAATGCTAAACGTTCTTCTGAATGTGCCAGGGTGCAGGGGACTCTTCTGGTATCGACATCACGGCTACAAACTGCCCGTGTGGTGGCGTGGCTTAAAACGTGTGCCCGGCGTTCCTTCTAGAAGCGGCGTCTTTTGTGATTTCTTGGAGGACTTTGCCACTTTTGTAGCCTTGTATTTAAAAGGCTCCTTGGGCCCTCTTTCTTTGTAGGTCCATAGCAGAGCTGGATTGTCAGTGACCAGGGGTCATAGCAGTTCTAATCTGATCAGGTCTCTTGGTTGGAGATAAGGCTATGAGGTTAATTATGTGGCCTGGGGCGCCCGCATTGTTTATCAGTCAGTGCCTGGTTGTTTTCTAGTTCTGGCTTCTTGGAGTTGTGTGCTCTGGGAGGCAGCAGATGATGGCTCAAGTACGAGGCCCTGGAGTGATTCTGGGCTCCTGGCTTTAGCCTGGCCTGGTCTTTGCTATTGCAGGCATCTGAGGGGAGTGAGCCAGTGCAGGGGCGATTTTTCTCCATCTGTCTCTGTCTCTTTTCAAATAAATGGAAATAAGAATCTTTAAAGTTATGCAAGAATCAATGAACGGGGAAGATGGGTAAAGCCGTCTGAGTGGGTTTGTTCAGGCATACTTGTTTTAAACTGCCTTGAGAGTTCTCCTTTACTTAGCACACGCTCTGGTTCAGTCTGGGTACAGCCTTTACCTCTGAGGGGCAGTTGTGCTTTGTAAAAGACCAAGACTGGGCCAGCGCCGTGGCTCACTTGGCTAATCCTCCACCTGCGGTGCTGGCACCCCGGGTTCTAGTCCAGGTCGGGCACCGGATTCTGTCCCGGTTGCTCCTCTTCCAGTCCAGCTCTCTGCTGTGGCCTGGGAAGGCAGTGGAGGATGGCCCAAGTGCTTGGGCCCTGCACCCCATGGAAGACCAGGAGAAGCACCTGGCTCCTGGCTTTGGATCAGCATGCCAGCCGCAGCGGCCATTGGGGGTCAACCAACAGAAAAGGAAGACCTTTGTCTCTCTCTCTCACTGTACACTCTGCCTGTCAAAAAAAAAACAAACAACAAAAACCAAAACCTGAATTCATCACCCTGGAGATGGTGCGGGCTATCTGGAATTTGGATCGAGATAAGAAAATACAAGTGACACCGTTACATTTCTCGTTTGCGAAAGGTGGTGGTTTCTGATCGCCTTGAAGCAGGTGGTTCCGAGGCGTATGGGGCTAAATTCCGTGGACGGTAACACCTGGAGAAGGGTATCTTCCAAAGCAGTGGGTGCTGCCGTGCAGCATGGAGGTCTCGGTGGCATCTCCCCTGCGTAGGGGCCCGATGTTACTCCACACAGAGCCGATGTGTGTCCCCACAGTGCCCTGGGCGCAGCAGACTTGCAGGTGCTTGGGTGCACCTGCCTGTGATGGCAGAAGAGCAAAGATACGGGAGTGGCTGTTCTATCCCCACGCTGCTCCCCGGAGGGTCACTCTGGACTGGGTCCCCCCCCCATTTTTCTTTTTCATTGCCTTTGCTTGAGCTTAGCTGGCCCTTCCTCTGTGCCATGGGGCCCTGGGCAGTCTGGGGTATGGGGAGGGGAGAAGCTCTTACAAGCCACCCCGTTCTCTGAGGCCAGGAAACCATTACTTCCTTTTAAGAGCTGTGCTGTGCCAGGTGTTTAAAAGCCGTCAGTCCTGCTGGCCCTCTGTGCGGGAGGCTGTTCCGGCTGCCTGGTACAGATAAGGCGAGATCAGCCTGTGGGCCGCTGGCTGCCTGGCGTCTGCCCCTGGGATTGTGGGACCTTAGTAGGTCCCAGAAACTTACCCGAAATGGGGAAGATGGAATCCATCCTGGGCTGGCTCACGGGGCCACTGGGATGACCCAGAGCCTGCTGAGCCCAAAGGACTGCTTAAATGTGGGAGCTGTCGGCCGCTGGTGGGGGTTCCTGTGCAGGAAGCCATCCTCTCTTGAACTGCGCCCTGTGGAAATCAGCTTGGGAACGGGAAGGAGATCCAGAAAGCTTTCACACGCGCAGGATTTGTGCGTGAGCTCTGTACCTGTACGAATAAATGTGAGAAGGAGCTGAACTAGGAGGCAAGACGGTGGTGCCTTGCTCTGCCTCCCCTACTCTGGGTGTCTTGTTTTCTGGCTTTGCCGGGAGCACAGTCCCCACGTCGGCCAGGCCCCCTGTGGTGTGGGGCCTGGAATTGACCTCTCCCCAGTGGCTCCCACAGTTGGACACTCCCAGTTAAGGAGCTGTGCAGTGCTTCTCTGAGGAGGGAAACGAATCTTAGGTGTCCAAGGCTTCTGTTTATCTAAGAGACTTTGTAATCAGTGTCTTGCCGTGGAATGTAACTGAAGTGTGTTGGAGTCCACGCTGCTTTCCGTCTTGCTTTTTTGGTGATGTGTTTAATAATGTGCTTCATTTTTAGCAGATGGGGAGCTCTGACATATTGGGATACATCAGAAAGGTCGTGGAAAAACCAGGGGTCAGCCCTGTGGCAAGTGCGCTACGTCTTTGCCTGCGGTTCCGGGACCCATATGGGTCCCGGCTGCTGCACTTCCAATCCAGCTCTCTGCTAATAGCCTGGGAAAGCAGTGGAAGAAGGCCCAAGTCCTTGGGCCCCTGTACCCACGTGGGAGACCCGGAAGAAGTTCCTGGCTCCTGGCTTCTGATCAGCTTGGCTCTGGCTATTGTGGCCATTTGGGGAGTGAACCAGCAAATGGAAGATGCTCTGTTTCTCGATAGCTCTACCTCTCAAATAAATAAAACCTTTTTTATTTTTTTTTTAAAGATTTTTATTTATTTGACAGAGTTACAGACAGTGAGA